CACCCTGCGCCACCCCTCCAGTCAGCAGAGTTGGCGAGAATCCTCACGGATTCGCGTTATTGAGGTCGTCCGTCCACGGGGTGTGCCCCCGGCGACGGGTTGTCGGAGAGAAAGAAGCCAGCCGAGGGTGGCAAAGGGTGGGGCGCGCTTGCGCGCGAGCTTTCCCAGAGCAGCAGTCGGCGCACGCTCAATGGGCATCGCCTCGTCAGTGGAGGACAAGGCGCAGACCTTCCTGCTTGCGTCCAAGCTGCTAGATATCCGCCAGCAGAAGAAGCAGGTGGAGATGCAGCAGAGTATGCAGCTGGCGGTGAGTCTCACGACTACACCTCCGCGCTGCCCTCTTGCCATCATCTGTGATCTCGCCGCCTCCGGTGGCACAGGCGACGCGTGAGCGGCTGATGTGGATCGCCGGGTACTACTGCACGGTTGGTCTCCTCTCGCTCACACGGCTGGTCGTGCTGCGCCGCTTCGAGAGCAAGCGGGTAGGTTGGGACATGCGCTTCCTTCCAGTCAACCAGTTACTGATTTGCATGCCACCCTTTATGATGGGGTACCAGCTGCACTACGCCGCGGGCGGCAAGATTCGAGGAGAGGGGGGACGACACTGCTTCGGCAAAAGCGTGCACCCCGATCCTGTACCGTGTTTGTTATGACCCCCCCCCCAATGAACACTCCAGTGAGGGAGGGCGAGACGATCGAGGGGTCCCGTACCACGCGGAATCGACCCTATCCAGTGCTCAAGTGCTCAAGCATTTTCTAACGAAACTGATTAGTGTAAATAAGCTAATAAAGTTTAATAATAACGTTATTAGGTATGTGTGATCTGTGATCTGTGAGGGTCCGCCCGCAGGCGCATTTTGTATACCGAGGCGGTGCCCGGTGCCGAGCGCAGGCAGTGCCCACAGGTCGGACCTTAAGACAGCATTGTTTGTAGATCCCTGGGCGAGGGTGATGGCGTCCCCGTCGGGAGGGGCTGTCTGGGGGGGTGGTACGGCGATCAGAGCTCCCCCGGTCGTCGCGCTAAACCGTATGTGTTGATAATCAGGTACATTATCTAAAGATATATTGCTCCCCCGTTGTCCGCCGTTTACACGTGACCAGCGGAATTCGCGGACCCGAGGAGTCTCGAGCTTCAGCTGGCAAACCATCATGCCGCTCTCGGCACAGCAGAAACGCGAGCGCCGCGCCGCGAAGCGCGCTGCCGAGGCTCAGGACGCGGCTCGCGGGCAGCGCAACCGCCCGGCGCCGAGCCGGTGCTAGGCCGCCTCCGCTGCGCCTGCTTCCTTGCGCGCCGCTGGACGTCGGCCGAGAAGACCGCTTCCCTCTGGGGACCCGACTCCGCGAAGATCGCGCGCGCGTCGTGAGTGGCGGCGCGCGCGCGATCTCCGTTCCCGGGCACGCCGGTCGCAGTGGCATGGGCTCCCAGGCTCAAAAGCGCTCCCGCCAACAGCGAGCGAGCGCCGCCGCTGCTCCTCCTCCCGCCGCCGCTCACCGAGACTCGGTGCCGCCGTTCGCCGCCGCCGCCGCCGCCGCCGCCGCCGCCGCCTCGCGCCTCGCCTCCGTCACCGCCGCCCTCCATCTCGCAGCGGCGCGTCCCTCTGATGGCGCGGGCGCCTCGCTCACCGGCGCCTCGCCGCCGCCCCCCCCCTTCTCGCGCCGCTCCGCTCGTGGCCGCCGCCTCCCCTGTCAATCCCGCCGCCTCCCCTATTATCCCGCCGCCCGCACCACCGCCGCCACCGCCTCGCGCCTCGCCGCCGCCGCCACCGACCGCCCTCCCCTGTGCCGCTGAGCGCGGTGCAGGGGGCGAGCCCCCGCTGCGCAGCCTCACCGCAGTGCACTGCGCTCTCCGCGCCCCTGACGATTAGTGAGGAGGTGGTGTTGCACAGCATGGAGCTCGGCGAGCGTTTAGCGAGCCCCTCAGCTAGTTAGGCTAATAGTTTGATAGTGCGACTTCACAACTTTGTGGGCAAAATCGGCTCTCTGGCGGCTA